TTTGCTTGTTTCAAGTCAGGACAGGAGCTTCTCTTCCAGTGTATGGGAATGCAGTTTATGTGCATCACTTCACTGGTCAATGGATTGTGGATTTATTTTTTTTATCATATTAGGAAAACATTTCCTGCATATCATTAAGGGGCTCTTAGGCTCCTGTACTGAGGAACTTTTGATTACCATTAAAGACAGTTAAAGTTTTCTCACTTGACATCTTCCTAAAGTATGTAACTTTATGAAGCTTTTTCTAATTTCCAGTTTATCCCACTGTAGTTTTCATTGCATGATTTCACGTGGTGCTCAGGCCTTGTGATTACATAATGTACTTTTTATGAAAATGATGTGGTGCCAGAGGGGAGGCTCAGAGTAGAGGAAGTCATTAACATGCAAAAAAACTTGAGCTCCAAAATAGCTTTAATTAGAAGCTTATTTCAAAGAACTACCACCTGCCTCTCATTTTGTCATTGCATTAGCTCTAAAAATACATTGTAGTTTAAAAGTGTGACGTAAATGTATTCGTATTCTGCTAGAATAACAAAACTACAAAACAACAGTAGCTAGACTAGTGCTTAAAAGTAACACTTTCTGGCTGAGGGACATTCCTCTTGAGACACAAGCTGCTGAAACTATGTAGAGTACACTAAGTGATTCCATCTGATACGCAGAAAACACAGTGGTTTATATTTTCACTTTATAAATGTGTCACTGGCAAAGCCAACTGGCTGCAATAAGCTTTTTTGAAATGGACATTTCTGGCTGAGTTTTTGGAAGACTGCATTTCTTAAAGTGAAACATAAAAACTCCATTCACTAGCTACACATTAAAAACAAATGGCTGAAGGAAATAAGTTGACCTATAAAAAGCTGGGAAATAGGAGTTCATATACAATTTAATTTTCTTTAATTAAGCTTTGCATGTAATAGTTTGGATAACTGGAGTTTGATCCACTTGTACAAGCTAGTTAAAATCCAAATTTGAAAATTAGTGAGTAGGAACAACACAAATATGATGAACAAAGTGGTGGGTATATTGAGAAGTGTTGCTGTGCTTTTAAAGGCCCAAAGAGTGATTGCTGATTCGGTCTTATGTGCCTATATTTGTTTCCTTAGGCAAGTATGGTTTGGTACTGCAGTATGCTCGGAGATCTTTGGAGTGCTCTAAAGAACTTGTCATATTATGTCATGTCATAATCAATCATGTCACTACTGTTAAAACTGGAGAGATTTTACAAAGATTGGGGTTATGCATGTCAAAGATCACAGAATCACAGAGTATGCCAAGTTGGAATGGACCAATGAATGCTTCCGTGTTTGGTATGACATGTAGCTTCATACATATTGCAGGAGGTGCTATAGTTTTTCTATTCATCACTTTCATGATGTGATGAAATTGGTAAGAATAAGGTTAATATTTATAATATAGAGGAGACCAGAAGCTATTATTATTTGTTACTTAAGCAATAATACCTCAACACTTGCAATGACTTTTACTTTTTTTGTTATCTGACTTGTAATATGTATCATAGAATCATAGAATCAGCTGGGTTGGAAGGGACCTCTGAGATCATCAAGTCCAGCCCTTGGTCCACTACTGCTGTGGTTACTAGACCATGGCACTAAGTGCCACATCCAGTCTTATCTTAAAAACCTCCAGGGACCGTGAATCCACCACTTCCCTGGGCAGCCCATTCCAGTGCCTGATTATCCTCTCTGTAAAGAATTTCTTCCTAATATCCAACCTGAACCTCCCCTGGCAGAGCTATCTTACTGACAGCCGCCTGGCAGAAGAGACCAACCCCCACCTGGCTACAACCTCCTTTCAGGTAGTTGTAGAGAGTATCACTGCATATCAGTTGTATCTGCTATAGTTGTCATCAGAAGACTAGAAATTAACAACTTAATTGTATATTTTAGGCAAGCCTAAACCCTAAAGGTTATGATCAGTAGTTGTCTTGAGATAGTTTTCTCACTACTATCAATATAACTAGGAGTACCTGAAATTTTATTCTATTACAAAATATATAAGATTTCTGTGTTAGTAAGGGCATTCATTTTACAATTAAATGTCTTTTCTTTAGATCTTCTATCAAGCAATATTTAGAACTTTTCAAATCTGAATAGCAACATGGAAAAAAATTAAACATAGTTGCTGTAAGAATGTTTTCGTGACTTGAGTCATTTTATGCACAGGTTTAATTTTTCATTCTTGCTTGGTTTATTTTCCTCCTGATTTTATCTATGTATTTCTAAGGAAGAAAAGAGGAAAAATAAGAAGCACCTTAAAAAAAACAAAGTAAAAACGTGTTCTACTGTGCCTTCTAAAAAGACCTTCAAGATGATCTGTAATCAATTTGTCTTCAGGTTTCAGGTACCAGGGAGTTCCATTGAAGTTAGACACTGAAAGCTAAGGCTCTGGAAATAGGGCAGACAGCTGCAGATTTTTTCTGTAGCACATTGCTGGTGGTAGGAGAATTCATAGTGTGGAAGGGGATTTGAAGATTCTCTATACCCAGACTTCAGTGTTGCATTCTTGATAAAGGTGTAAAATACAAGTGGAACCGAACAGTTAGATAATGTAAAGTGTTGAGAGGGTTTTCAGTATGCCTTTGAATGCTGAATGTGAACAGATGTGACTTTGAGGTAACAGATGTAGAATAATTGTGGTCACATAGACACCTGGATTATGAAGCACTGTTTTCTTGCAAGCCAAATAAAAATCCCACTAGTTATTTGTAGTAGTCAATAACTATACTTTAAAGTACCTATGCCTAAGAGACTGTGGTGGCAACCAGTGGGCTAGCACCTTTTACTGGTTATCAGTGTTTGTACAAGTTTCTCAGAGAACTTTTACTGGGTAATCATAATTTTATACAGCTGGCTAACTCATATTTTTTCTAGACTGTATCAGCAGTGTGAGAATAATGTCAGCAACTGCTGGGAATTGGAAGCTGGGTGTCATTAATGTTGATAGCATACCCATGCAAAAGTTTTCAAGTTTCTCTGATGGTTTCTACTTGTTGCTGATCCAGGAGCATGTGATAGGACTAAATCCTGTGAAATTTCACAGCTGAGAGGAACAGATATCTGCAAGAGGTCCTTGGGGTGGAACGGAGATGAAAGATAGAATGCCTTCTTTGAATGCTGGAATTGAATGATTCTTCTCTTGACATGATCTAGTCCACTCCCTTCCCAAGCAGGTTCACCTAAAAGTTGCCCAGGATTGTGTTCCACTGTATTATCAGCATGTCTGTGGGAGGACAGTCTACAACCTTTCTGGACTATGAGTTCCAGTGTTTGATGACCTTCACAGTAAAAAAAAAAAATAAAAAAAATAGATTTTTATGTTCAGATAGAATTTCATGTGATACAGTTTGTTACTGATGACTTTAGTCCTGTAACTGGGTGTCACAGAGAAGAGTCTGCCTCCCTCTTGTCTTTTCACTAGAGAATGAAAGATTCAACTTTGCCTCAACCAGATTAACAACGTGAATTGTACTTCCAAATGTTCTTCTTATCAAGTGGTTAATATTTGTGGCAGAGTTTAAAGTACACATTGTGAGTTATATGCAGAATCCGGAAAGGAGGGGAGATCTAAAGTTTTAGAAAATGGTAAAATCTGAGAAAGGGGTGAGGGAGGAGGGCAAGTGGGAAGGACCCAGGTGCTTCACTTTCCTTTCATTTTTTTTTCTCTTCTTACCCTCAGCTAAATTTTTATTGTGTATTTTAATCACATGGACAAGTAACACGATGTACTTCTGGCCTTTTACACTGCTATTTATTTTTAAGTAGTTAAACTTTCTGTGGAGAATCGCAGTGGAGATGAACAATGTTTTGCACTGTACATTTGTTGTTTTTTCAGGTGCTGAATGTCTTTTTTACCTTTATGTAACTTTAAGAATGAAGTTTTAGTCTATTTTTTTTTTTTTTTTGGCTTCACCTTCTTCTGTTAGGAAACACTAATTAAAAGAGGGTGGAACTTAGTGAACAGACAGTTTTTTGGGGTCATCCATGCATAAAGAATCATTCCTGAGACACAAGAGAGAATTTTAATCGAGGTGAATAGACATTTTGAATTACAAACACTTCACGTAACATTTGCAAGATAAGTGCTTATCTCTGAATTCAGTAAAGACACATCTATCACCTTCAGGAATTATTAATCTTAATGATTAACAATTATTAATGCTCTCTTTAAATGCATAAAAAATATTGTTTGTTTGAATTGTTACCCTGCATATGAAGTGCAAACTGCATAATCAGCTTCTGATCTCAGAATTTTTCCCAATGAGACTTTGAATTTAGATTGGTGTACTTGAGGCATGACAAACCATGTCTTAAGTCATGTCTTGAGGCTGCTGAATAATGGATGAGGCTTGAAGTCATTTACTCCAAGCTGATTTTTTTTTATTTCATATTTTTTAGTCTTGCTGGTAATACAGAGTAGGCCTGGTTTGTATTTTCTTTCCTTGAAGACAGAAAATGTGAATGTAAAATGTGGAAAACATTACCATTGTATTATTTTCCCAACAATACATATTTGTAGGACTTTCTGTTATATTGCTTCAGTACACTTGGAAGAATAGAATAGGTTATTTTTAAACCACAGTTGTTATGACTGCTTGTAAGGTATGGAAGCATTTAACAACCAGAATAATTTGATGTTTTGGAAATATTGAAACATTTCTTTAAACTGAAATTGTAATAGTTATATCCTTAGGAATTTGGTTTGAAATAAAATATCTTATTTTTTTTCTCCCTTCTAATATATTCTGAATGTTATTCCCCCCAAAATCTAGTTTGTTTATTTTAGAAAGTAAGCTTTTATTGAAGTTGGAATATTTAGTATTCTTCCTCGTAGTAAACACTCCCATAAATGAAAATGAATCTTATTTTTGTTAAGATTACTGATGCGTACAATTTTAATTTACTTGCAGTTTTATGATTAAAACTAAATAAATAACTGCTTTGTTTTCTTTGTGTATTTCTTTCTGTTGCTTTCCTTAGGTCGAGATTTGATATGCATACAGTCCATGGATGGGATGCTTATGTTGTTTGAACAGGAAAGCTATGCTTTTGGCCGCTTTTTACCCGGTTTTCTTCTGCCTGGTCCCCTGACTTACAGCTCTCGCACAGATTCTTTCATTACAGTGTCTTCATGTCAACAGGTTGAGAGTTACAAGTATGTGTTTATGTTCAGTAATTATAGTGTGTTTTGGTGCTGTCATTTCGTAATGATAGGTTAACAAATTGAAAGTAATCATGTTTAATTTTTAATGCCTCTACTTGAGTATCCAAAAGCAGGTGATAGGTAGTTGCAGGAAAGGAATTATATGTTGTTGAGTGATTACTGTCTCTGTACAGTCATCGAGGAAAACATACTGTGAGTCCCGAGGACTTTATGGTCCTATTTTATTTGTATATATGTGAAGTCTACCAGCTTATCAAGGCACGTCATGTTTCTCCCAAGTGTCAGGTTTCTCATTGCTTCAGTTCAGTCTAATCTATGCTTTCGGTGTTGGAAAATGGATGAAAATGTTGTGAACTATTTTAGTTTGTGACCATATTACGTTTATTATTTAGAAAAATAGAACACAATGTAGAGGAAAGACTGCACAAGACATTTCCACTTCCTCCAAGCTCAGGAACTATGTATCGCAAGGCCAATCAGATAAAAATGTAGTAGAGAGAGAAAAAGAAAAAAAAATGAGAAAGGTTTTGAAAGACAGACAAGGAGGGATTTGTGTTCACTATGGAGAAGCTTTCTAACTGAACCACCATGCTGGGAGTTTATCAGGCATTCATCTTTAGATAAATCAGATGGATGCTTGAGGAATGGGACATTGTGATGGATGTCTGCTACAAAGCCTTTTTTAAACAAGAAGTTTTTTTAAACAAGAAGTCTCCCAGTTGCAGGCCCATGTTCTCACAGAGGACTAATGCCTGCTGGGAGGGCAACATAATTGACTTCAACAATGTGGAAGGTTTTGGAGGTGCATTAGAGAGAACTCCTTTGATTGAGGTGCTAGACAGCCTGGCTTAGGAAGACACTTTGCTGAGTACACAACTCAGAAGGAAATGTTTGGAGAAGTAATAGTCAGCATCTGCTGTTGAGTGTTGCAGATATTGGCTGCAGTGACCATGAGCTGATCCTAAGAAAAATGAGGAAGATAAACAGTGAACTAAAGACTGTAGATTTCAAGAGAACAGTTGGGTTTGTTCAAGGAAGTGGTGGGCAGGATCCTGTGAGACGCTCCCCTGAAGGGCAGAAAGGCTCAGGAGAGCTGCTGCATCATGGAAAGACCAAGAACAATCCATTCTGAGAAATCGATGTTTAAGAAAATGAGTAGCAGAAGGCAGATTGACTGGACAGGTGGGTCCTGACTGAGTTCAGATGGAAAAAAGGGAATGTATGACATGGAAGTTAATACCGACTACTTGGGAGGAATATAAAATATAATTTCTCCATTAAAACTGACACAGTCTGCTGTTAGGGTTTTTGAATCTCTGTGCCTAGCAGGTTAGCAGTAAACTGGGGTGGGGTGGTGTTTAGAACGGAGTTACTACCTGTGATGACAAAACCCCACACCTACTAAAATGGATGAAAAAGTGGCAGAGCTGTCAGGCTTATAGAGTAGTAGCTGTTCACAGTTCTAACTAGCAGCTAAAGATGAGTGATGATGATACTGGAGCCAGTATATCTTTAACATCTTCATCCTGGACAGTAGGACAGAATGCCTGTCCTGAAATTCAAAGACAATGCCAAGTTGTAGGAAGTGACTAATATAAAAAGGATAGGACTGTCATTCAGAGGAATCTCATCAAACTGGAGGAATGGGCTGACAAGTACCTTAAGGATTTTTTTCAGATGTATTCATACATATTAAAGAAAATAAGGATGCCAGTTTTTATAGATTATGCCATGGGAATCTAATCCAGGGAACGTTAGTCCAACACGACGCTTTCTCACACTTACCAGTTCTGTCACCTGAATTTCTCAAGCAATACTCTTTTCATTATGCTGTTTAAGCTTGATCAGATGACAGATTATAGATATTGTATACTGTTTTCTTATCACAGGACAAGATGTATGTATTGCAAGTAAAAGTAATTTCATATAAAATTTATATTTTTCCTAAAAATTAGAATAAAAATTCTAATATATTCTTATAATAAAATTAGAATAGAATCTATTAATGTTGTCAATTAATAAAGAAACAATTTTTCCTTTAAAGTGAACATTTCATACACTTTTATTATGTTCAGATTCTTGACCTTTACAATAAATGTGACTAAAATTTTTCATCAGTCTGTTAGAAATTCACAAGTGTGCTATCCTTCCTGTAGGAACATGTAGTTTTAAAGGAATTCTTCACTTGGTTATTGGTCTTTAATGCCAGGTATTAAGACACTGTGGTACTAATCTCTAGTGTGTGTCTGAACTATTAGGACATTAGAACAGGGTTAAGTAATCCTTCTAAAGTGAAGAAATAGATATGCTAAGGAAAGAAGAGGTTATTTTTATGGTAGTGAATGAAAAATACAGCAGTTCTGTCCAGTGTTTTTAGCAGAACAATTTACCAAACTTCAAATTATCCATTGTGTTATGGCTGTTGATTCTGAATTCTTTCAATATCTAAAAGAAAAATGCCTCTTATTTAAATGATTATGTGCTTGATGTGGTAGCTGAATTAAAAGTTTGTGTTGGTCATCTGTGGCTTGAGGTTTTTTTGTCATGAAAGAGTATATGCAGGCAACTGGCACTTAAACATCAATATATATTGCTGTTCAATGGAGCTTGGTTTGAAAATTCTGTATTAGTCCCTAATTAGTTAATAAAATGACAATGTGCTTTTCAAGACTATCAATAAAATTTTCTCTTTTCACCATATGTTTATTAGGTCAGAAGCTGCAACTTCTCTTATAAATGTGTTAAACTGAAAAAGGAAAGTAGATTTGTTCATACAGGGGACAGTTAAAGACATAATTGTACTAAAAGCAGCTTATTTAGTATTATTAACTAGGTCATAACAGTTACCTTAAGCAATTGAATCTCTTACTACTAGTACATAGTTTACTTCTGTAAGTAAAATAATTTTAGAAACTAAAATCTTTCAGTAGCAAGCACAGAATCACAGAATACTTAGGATTGGAAGGGACTTCTAGAGGTCATCTAGTCCAACCCCCTTGCCAAGGCAGGGTCACCTCGAGCAGGTGACACAGGAATGTGTCCAGGTGGGATTTGAATGTCTGCAGAGAGGGAGAGTCCACGGGCAGCCTGTTCCAGTGCTCTGCCACCCTCAATGTATAAAGAAGTTCTTCCTCATGCTGGGGTGAAATTTCTTGTGTTTTAATTTATGTCCATTGCTCCTTGTCCTGTCACTACACCACAATACATGCATCTGAAATGTGAGGAATATTGGTGTCATCATTTTAAATCTATAGCTTTGACAATAAACAAAAATACATTGTTATTTTAGACTTGAATTGGAACAGTCAGAATTGTGTTGGTTTAAGCTTAGGAGCTGATGGCACTCCACGAATTGCAGAATTGAGTGCTGTCTTTTGGATAAGTTTATGTTGGGTCTTTTTCTGTTATTTATTTCACTTCTGTAGAAAACTTCAGTATTTTACAGGTTACCTAATGTGCATAGGTGTAAAGAGGACAGATAGATGTCCTCAACTTTTATGGCCATTGATACCTTTTGTTCAAATGTCTTTATTGCCGATTTTTCTTAGTATGGTTGGTTGTCAGTTAAAGTAATAACACCCCCGCAAATCTCCCAGGTTTTGCTGGATGTGCCACTTACTGATGCCTGTTTACTGCAGTCTCTTGGATTGGAACTACTTAGTTTACTTAATGAATGTGCTTGAGGGTTTCATTATTAGGTGTAACAGATTCTATTTCTGGCCAGTTTAGGAGGATTTTTAAAAGCTTAATAAGAGGAAAAAAAAATTTTTTTCAATTAGGATTTCAATTTCACAAATTGAAAATAAGTTGGTTTCTTTTGTCTGTCTTCGTGATCTAGGTTTCTATCCTCTAATATATTTAGCAATGGAATTTATTTTAACACCACATAAAATCTGAATTTTTGTTTTAATTTCTACCTTTACACTTAGCTGTTATCCTACAGTGAGATTAATCTTAATATCTTTGGTCATGATAGATTATGTTGCAGTAGGATTTCTAACAATCCTTTTAGTCTGTGCTTTTTCTGTGAGAGTATACTCATGATAATTATATTTTATTTTTTACTTAATGTAAGGCTATTAACTACAAAAATATCTTTTACTTTTTTACCTTTTTAAACTTCCTATAACAGATACCAAGTGCTGGCATTTGCGACAGATGCTGATGAAAGACAAGAAACAGAACAGCAAAAACTTAGCTCTGGAAAAAGGCTTGTGGTAAAACCTGTTTATTTTACATGACCTGTATGAACACTGCATACATGTTAAAAAGATGGATGCTAGGTAACGGAGTGGAAACATTGTCTGCTGACAAAGGACCTGGTCCAATTGCTGTTAAAGGCAATGGAAACACTCCAGTGTATTTCTATTAAGGTTTCTTTAGCCCTCAGTTGTTTAAGGTTGGGCCTTAAAACTAGCTGTTTTTCTACAGAGGAAAGGAAGAGAGAACTGTGTATTGGAAATAACTATTTCTAAGGCCATCTTTGTAATACAGAACCTACACTGTAGTAAATTAAATAAATAGGTACACCTGAATTATTGCTCATGTTTTTAACAGAAGTCTAATTGTGACTTTCTATTTGACTTAGAAAACTAATGTCATTCTACTTGGGGAATCCTTTGTACTTAGAGAAAACTCAGCGGTGAAATGTTTCCATAAATAATTGGTATCCTGAACTCTTCTTGGCAAAAACCTGTGGATTCAATGGTCTTCTGGAGGTTCCTGTGACTGTTTTAAGTGTCTCTATGAATAAGCTGTTTAATATTTGAGCTACCTCCTATTAAGAGGAAGAGAATTTAATTCACCGTGGTCCTGCAGTAGAGTGGCTTGTCTGCTAAATATACTGCATATGTAAAATGCTAGATTCAGTGTACTTCAGGTGTGGCAGTAAAATGTTGGGAGAGCATCTTCCTTGCAGTGGCTAAAAGTAGAATTTTTTCAAACTATAAGTCAATCTGAATCCTACATCTTCAGTTGGGAGAAGATGTAGTTTTTAAATAAGAAATCTGGAATCATCAGATATGCTGCAAATGAAACTTTTTTTTTTTTTTAAATGTAAAGCACAGATGGAGACAAATGTAATAAGCCTGGCTTTTTTCCCTTTAGCTTTTAAGATGGCACTTCCAATTTCATATATCAGATATGTCAGTATGTTTGCTGACACATTCTATGCTCTTTAAGCAAAATGATTGATGCTGTTCATATAGGAAGTGCTGACAGTTGAACTTTGATATATTTTTACTTCAGAAATTCTAAATTTCTGTTTAACTGGCTTGGCAGAAGTCAAAAGCATTTTTTGCATGTGTGTTTAGTTGAAATTTCCAGAGGAGCTGCAGAAACAAACCAATGAAATGTGTCAATAAGCAGTAATATTTTTAAAAACATAAAGATAAGGGAGACAGGATTTATAAGTAGTTGCTTATTATATCAATGTATGTAGTTGGAGAAGTAAACAAGCTATGACATACACAAGCATTCTTCAGATTGAAGAGTGTTCATGAGTGACTGCAAGTTTGACTTACATATCGAAAGCTTTTGTCCGTTTTTCCATTTACATATACTGGTAGAATAAGTTGTCACCTTTTGCTCTCTAACCTTGTCCTTAATATCCAAGGACATGTACAGAGGCAGATTTAATACTTAAAATATAAAGCATTTCCATTTTGAATGGGCTGTGTATTTTAAAATTTAAATGTACTTAAGTGAACTGCGTAGTCATCAATTCATAGCTATTTTAAAATGAAGATGTTTTTGCTGCTTTACTCACATTAAGGAAAGCTACCAACTTCCCTCAGAATAAGAGGATAACTCTCATTCAAAAAAAGATCTGGATTTTACTTTTCTATGTTAATGATATGTAATTTGATTAGTTCTGAGCCTTCTCAAAGTATTGTCTTTAATATGCAGCTGTCAATTGATCTCTGGAGCATGTTTTTTCTTTTGAAGGTGGATTGGGTTCTAAACATCGGAGAGCAAGCACTGGATATATGCGTTGTCTCATTTAATCAGGGAGTTTCTTCTGTTTTTGTGCTTGGTGAGAGAAACTTCTTTTGCCTTAAGGATAATGGGCAAATACGATTTATGAAAAAGCTTGATTACAGTCCGAGTTGCTTCATTCCTTATTGTTCAGGTTTGTAAAAGGAAAATTCAGTTTAACTTTAGCTTGGTTACTTTTACAACTAAGAGTCGTGTTTGGTTTTTTTTTTACTTTTCCCACTGAATAAATATGTTTTTCTGAATAAGCAGGTTGGATGGGGCTTTGAGCAAGCTGGTCTAGTGGAAGGTGTCCCTGCCCATGGCAGGGGGAGATGGGACTATGTTGTCTTTAAGGTCCATATCAACCCAAGCCATTCTGTGATTCTGTGGTTCTATGATTTGTAGAAAGTATGTGAATTGGAGCTCTCTTTTTGAATGAGGCAAGTTTATTTTCAAATGTTACTTAGTGTAAGGTATCATAACTTTTAGAATCTAAATATTTTCTCGTTACCAAATCGAGGTACTTGTTTAGTGTCCAGGCTACCAAAGCAACAAACATGGAAGAATGAAAGATTTTGGAAGAATAAACTACTGTTTGAGGACCTTCTGTTTGAGGAACTTGTGATATTTATGGATAGTTAAAAAAAAATCAAATAAAGTTTACTGTTATTATATTGTGTGGAAACAACTTGGTTAGAACTCCAGACTCTTAATATCTACTCTCTTTTAATGTTTCAAAAACTACCTGATAAATTTTTGACACTGTGTCTTATTTTGAAGTTAAATAGCATTTTAGTCTTTACATATTTGATCTTGACAATCCTCACATTTTATACTTTCTGATTTAAATTATACTATAATTAAACCCTGTAAATGCATACACATTCAGTTGGTATTCACAAGTTAATAAATGAATGAAGAATACAAGTAGCAGATATTTAACCAACGTGTTATTTTGTCATATCTGTCCTGGCACGCCAACATAACCATTATGAATCTTTCTTTGTCATATTTAAAATTACCATACATGGCTGACTAGAACCTTACAAAGTTGTGGTATGTGTTGTGTAATATGCAGTTGAAATTGGTATCCATAAGTAATCACATATGTCATACATTGTCAATGTAACTTTCATAACTTTTGACACTTTAATTATATTAAATTAATTTATAACACATAATGGCTTAAAAAGAAAAGAAAAAATAGTATAATGTTATCAGCCTATATGAAAAGTAGTGGCTTTTGAAAAGTCTTTCATCCTAAACTTGCTTTTATATCTTTTAACAGTGCAAGAAGGAACAATAAACACTTTAATTGGAAATCACAATAAGATGTTGAATGTTTATCAAGATGTTACACTGAAATGGGCCACTCAACTTCCCCACATTCCTGTATCAGTAAAAGTAGCGAATTTTCAGTAAGTAACTTGTTAAAGTTTGCTTTTCTTCAGAATAATCTCCAGTTATGTTAGATCCTAACAAACAGTTCTGAGGTATATAACAAATAAGGTGACTTGTAAAAAGAAAATTCGAAGTGTTTTTTCTTTGTTTTGTAAAATGTTCATTTTGTTAATGGATGTACTGTTAATTCTACAACAATACTAGTATTGCTGTACTGTGCTTTAGGTTTTCTGTTTTTCTTGAGTGAAAATAGAAGCTGGAGTACCATAGCTCCAGTGCAGTAACTTCTTTTTTGAAAGGATGAGAAGTGAGGCTGTGCAATCTGGTAAGATCCTTCCTTGAGATAGAAAAATAAGGAATTTCACTGAAAATCTGTTCTTCATTGAGGATTTAAGAGCATATGCATTCCGGAGATGATTTGTTGGAACAGATTATTAAACTCCAGTGTTAAACTGTGGAAATCAAGGAACTGCTTAAATTGCTGAGGACTGCACTGCAACAAACCAAAACTTTTTGTAATCCATGCATAAGACAGATCAGGGAAAAACTGGTTGGGTGGGTAATTGAGTGAAGAGAAGTTAAGACATGTTGATAACTTGTACTGTGACTGTCACTGAAATAAACAAACCACAGAAAGGCTCACTGTTTTTACAGTCCAGTTTTGCCTGTTCTGGGTGCCCCCAGAGCTGGGGTGGGTGCTGGGTGCCCAGTGCCTATGACCATAGGTGATGCAGTAGGAGAGTCCTTGTCAGGTAGATTACTTTTGATCCCCAACAGGCTTGCGGCTGCTGTCCCAACATACGATGGATTGCTAAACACTTGATAAGTCATGCATTTTACCTCTTAACAAATCTGACTAGCTTTACTGACTTGTGCAGGGTAATCTAAGGGATGTTTGTGTTTTGTTTGTTACTAATGGTTACCTAATGTTTTTAAAAATTATTTATTATTTATTTTTTTTAGACTCTCTGGAGAGAGTTGGGCTGGCTTTCATCCAACAGGTCTTACAACTGAAATATAATGAACAGTCTCAGTGGGCCAGTTAGTATAACAGTCCCTTATATAATACTAAGTTAATTATGCAGCATATGACAGTACAGCTTTTGAAGTTTGGAAAAATATTTGTGTTAGAAAAAATTTGAAAAAAGCATTGATTTTTACAACAGCAGATTGTAGTAACATTTGTATATACAATTATTTGTGTGGAAACTCATTATATTGAACCATATGTTTCAGTAATGCCTCTGAGAAATTTATGCAGATTCTGCCTGTTCCCTGGTAATTTTAAGACTCAGCAGTTTGATCTCAGGGAGAAATTTGAGAGCCTTAAATCTGTCCCAGCTCAATTTGCTAGTTAGATTTAGAATTCCCACAGGCCTACTAATGCCAGGGTGTGGTTTGGGGTTGTGTTCTTTAGCAGGTAGAGAGACAGTAATCTAGTTACTCAAATCTCTTTATGCAGGTAAAAATGACGGAACATCTGTGTGCCTACACCCAATGGCCTGAAAGGCAGGGAGAGGTCCAGGGCATAGGTGTTTCTGAGCTATGCTTCTGTCTGTCAGTAGGAAAATATCCAGTATGCTTGTGCTTCATTCTGGCATTAAAAATAAAGATGAGCGAAAGAGCAAAAAATGTAGTAAAGCTTACAGAAATAGTAATTTGGCTTAAACTGAGCATATGTCTTTGGATTTTTTTTTTTTTAAATAATTTGAAAGGGAATTTTTTGTGAGTTAATGTGATAATGATTTTCTAGTACTCCACTCAAGAGAGACCTCAGTCTCAGTTGGGGCCTCTGGGCATTACTGTAAGATAAATAATATTAAGTACTTTAATAAGCATAGAGTTGTTAATCCTACACTGCTGAGGGATTGAAGGGCCTTAAATATGGTGTTATGTCAATTAATTACTTTCTTCCCTTTTATTGCAATAATACTTACAAAGTAAATGAAGCATTCTGAAAGTAGTTATCTCTACAGATCATGCCTGTTCATCTGTATTATCTCCGTGGCATAATGTCTGTTACTTCTAATATATGACTCTGGCTTGCTGGATAAGAACAGCATTATTAGAAGCTATTTTATATAAATCCCTTGGGGCAGGAGTATAATTGTGTCACAAAAGCAGTCATATACGTTATTCTATAATCGTGGTAGTCTACTTCTAAGATCAACTGGAAAGTGCTTTAGAGAATTCCAGCTAAACAACTTGTAATTCTAATGTGTGCCCCTCCTTATTCTTTATTAATTGATTTTTCCTCTAAAAGTAATGTGAAATATAGTATTCCCCTACTGCAATACCAGTATGTAAATAAGGATAATAATATACTACAACATTCGGTATTAAATTCCAGTATAAACTGCTTGATTTCCATCACTTTTTCAGAAACATGCAAGGAAAAACAGAATCAAAGAGAAGTGGTTACTTACAACAGTTTTAGTAAGGTGCCAATGAACCATAAAAATTATGTATTTTTAAGCTGTTGAACCACACTTTTTTGCCTTCTGTGAAAACCTGAATGTTCTCTGTCAGGAAATTGAAAATTTCATATAAAAACTTGTGATCAGAAACTTGAACTACAGGCAAAAATTTGTTTGTTTTATTCTGGGTTTTACCTGAATATCTCTTTAATTAATCACTGAACTGGAAGTTTAGTTCTAACTGTTGTTGTAGAGATTTGTCCCTTATTTTGTTGGAAGTTTATATTCTGGTTCTGTTAAGGTGTATTAGCTGCTTTTTCTGACATACTTTTAATGTCAGGGGGACTCCTACATGCCTAACACTGCCTGTACTGCTTCAGAAGTATAACCACATACACTGACAATTTCAGTTAATTTAAGCTGCTTAGGTCTGTGTCTCAGCACAAATTTATCTTCCCATGGATAAGCCTGCTTAAACAGTTATATTTTTGCATGTCCTGCCTTGTTATCCTTCAAGTTATGGCTGTGAGAAAGCATTCTCTCTGAAGCTGAAGCTCTTGAAGAAAACGGTTTAGATGTTCTGCCTGAGTTGATTAAAAAACCCCAAACAACTCCCCTGCCCAAATCCTTTCTAGAATGGTTTGAATAGAAGCAGTCCATACACTGCAGTTGGAACAGCTGAAATCTGGGAAGGTACATTAAGGAATTACAAGAATTCCTACTCTGCTCAAAATTTCAGTGTTAAAATGGTAGTTGTGAGCATCAGTATTTGCTTGGTATCCATGATAATTACATAAATATCTTCTTAGTGTTGACTTCAAAGTCCATTTCCTTTTTTCTTGCCTTTTAGTTTTCATTTTTCTGTTTCATCAAAGACCTCTTTTCTAAGACCTTCTTTATACCTTCACATCTCCTTTGCAAAGGAAGTTTCACGAGCGGTATCTCTTATGCTTATAGGTTATAAATTCTATGAATTTGTCACTGATGCTTCTTGAGATGTGACAGATTTCTCTCTGACTCCCTCCCTCCCTCCCTTCCTCGTAATTCAGGTAATTGTGTGGGGAGCAAACTCATAGCATTGTTGTTCCTACACAAAGTTCCTATTAGCTGAAGCACCTCATATCAACGTCTTTTTTTCCTGCTGGCAGGGATTTAATCCTGTAAAGTCAAGTGACTTAATAACTCCTCAACCAAAAGGTGAATTATGTGTGTCAGAGTCATCTGACATAACTTGTTCATAAAGTGGCAGAAAATCACTTCTAGAAGAGTCATATTTGTTTTTCTATCTGAATTATCCTGTCTCCATATGCTTGACCATAAGAGGTCCTTGGAGTAGATTAAAATACTTAGACAACTGCTTTTCTCTTTATTTGACACTAACTCACTTGGCAAAGCTGTTGCTAAGAGTACCATCGTACCATCTTTAATGGCCGATTGATTGCACCAAGTTTTACTCTGTCCTGCCTGGCCTGATACTAGAACATCAGGTGCATTCAGTCTGAAGCAAAACAGGTTGTGTTGCAAGCCTCTGGGATGTTTTCTGTCACAATATGAAATGCCAGTGTGGGTTGAGTTAAAACACATAGATAGTGTTATAGCTTGGATGTAGTCTCAGTAAAGGTCACTGTTTTGGTCACTTCCAAGTCACAAAGCTGTTTTTGCAATAGGAAAACCTGAGGCCTTTAAATCAGGGCCTTTTTTTTCCCTTCTGAATATTTTAAAAGTTCACTAGTCTTCATTTTACTACTTAGTTTTGTTTTTACACAGTCTTCTGGTTATATCTGATAATCCTGTAAAGGCTAAAAGGTAGCGTGCCTTTTTTCTTTTAAAGTGAAACAGACTGCAAACTTCCTCAAATACCCCTTCTTTTTAAGTCAGTGTTTCATGATGTCTCTAATTTTGGTTCTTTGTGCTTTTGACTGTCCACCAAGAAATTAAGTCTGGTGATATCTGCATGGCAAAAAAGTGTTGGAAGTAGGCACAGTTCTAACAGGAAGCCAACCCCGGGGTTTAGGGGACATTTTGTGGGAAAGATACTTCTTCCCTCTTTATTCTACTGGGAACTCTTACTACTTTAGACACCAGTTTATCAGTGAACTTAATGTTTAAATAAATGAAGGATATTTTCCCCTTCAGCCACATTGGAATTTTATTAGTAATACCTAAAAAGAAAAAACTTTAGAGCGAAGTAGTAGTGCTTGTAGTGCTTGTCTATAAGTAATTGGATGCCTTGCATATGTGTTGCCTCTTGTTTTTAGGAGCTACATCTGGGAATCAGAATATAGTAACCACTATAGTACCATTATGTCTGTGAGAAGAAGGACTTTTCTTCATGGAAGAAAGATTCTTGAAGCAAATAACCCAGAAAATGATGCATATGCCTTGTAAAATGTGAAGTTACTTTTATTACAAGGGGTTGACAGGTATAGACAAGTTGGTGAAAGTAGCTAAAATATTTGCTTTCACTTTCATTTATTTGACAGGTAAATATCATTTTACTTGGTAATGGAAGAGCATGTTTTCTGAAGAGGAAATATAAAGAAGTCTGGAAAGGTTTTTTGTGCAGAAGTAATTTATTACCTTTAAAGAATAAGAATTTC